AATCACATCGTATCAGACTACTACTAGACATATAATCAGACTACCACTGGATATATAATCAGACTACTACTGGACATATAATCAGACTACTACTGGACATATAATCAGACTACCACTGGACATATAATCAGACTACTACTGGACATATAATCAGACTACCACTGGACATATAATCAGACTACTACTGGACATATAATCAGACTACCACTGGACATATAATCAGACTACTATTGGACATATAATCAGACTACCACTGGACATATAATCAAACTACTATTGGACATATAATCAGACTACCACTGGACATATAATCAGACTACCACTGGACATATAATCAGACTACCACTGGACATATAATCAGACTACCACTGGACATATAATCAGACTACCACTGGACATATAATCAGACTACTCATTCATTCAGTAGCATGTCCCTCGCGGAACCTCGCTGCCATAACAACCCTCCGGAAAACCTTCCTATCCTGAACAAGATGTCCTGCGTCTGATACACCCATCTGGAGATCATCTGCCACATCCTGCACCCATCTTCTCCTTGGCCTTCCTCTTCCTCTCTTCCCAGGCATATACCCCTCCATTATTGTTCTCTCTAGACTTCCATGACGTTTCAAGTGACCAAAATAATTCAATTTTCTTTGTTTTATTGTCTTTACTAGCCAACCATCTTCAATATTCAGCTCTTGAAGTATGGATGCATTTGTTCTTTTCTTTACCCAAGATATTCTTAGAACCTGTCTGTAACATTTATATTCAAATGCATTTATGCGCTGTTCCGCTTGTTTAGTAAGTGTCCAGGTCTCACAGGCGTATGTTGCAATGGGAAAGATGCATGCTCTTAAAAATCTGACCTTTGTAGTTCTATCTGTACAATTCCATAATTTATTCAGTTGTTTTAGTCTTTGAAGAGCAATTGATAGTCGCCGTTTAATTTCTTTCATTGTGTCACCATTGTTGGTAACCAGTGACCCAAGATATTCGAAAATTTCCACCACTTCCAATCTTTCCTCATTAACTACTACTAGACATATAATCAGACTACCACTAGAAACATAATCAGACTACCTCTGGACATTTAATCAGACTACCACTGGACATATAATCAGACTACTTCTGATGCTGGCTGAATGGGAACTCTTTCCCTGCGGGTTCCGGTGCCCCATTGTGAGGAAAACAAGAATAGACTCACTGCCTCCCTAACAAGCATATCGTAGGAGTCGACTAATTAGGAACTTCCTTCGAAGTGGGAGTGCATCTGCCCGAGTGGCAGGGAACAACCAACTGCACACAAATAAGTCTGTGAAACGGATGCACACGCCAAACTCAGGCCCAGGCACAAAGGCAAAGTCCAAATGGACGAACAGTCAGGACATTCCGTCAGAGTTTACAGCCAGTGAACAAAGAAGAAGAAGAAGAATGGGAACTCTGGACTGCCTGCTCGAGATTGTCACAAGAGCTGTGACATTAGCTGGGTGCCAGGAAGCATTACGTTAGTTGATTATCCTTTAAAGCACAGTACAGCCTCATCCACAGTATGTTTTGGCTGTTGGGGTTTTTCTAGGCACATTTTACGTTCAGTAGTTTGCCATTGCTTTCTGGACTGTTAGCTCTCGGAACCAATGTCGAAACAAACGCAAGAGATTCTGATTCCAAATCGCCCCCAGTTCGGATCGAACCCTGCTTTCCGGCATTACGAAGCGCGTACGCAGCGCCTAAGCCACAGACGCCGACAAAAAACATTGTGGGAAGCGGAACGGAAATTAAAAAAACAAAAACAATAGGAGTGCCTAAAGCTGTCTTCTATAAGATGCACAAATTACTGACATCTAGAGTGATGAACAACACACTTAAAATTAGAATCGTCAAATGCTATGTATAACCAATGCTGCTATATGGTGCAGAAACTTGGACTTGGAACAAGCAACTAGGAAATCGAACGGAGTCCCTGGAAATGTGGGTATACAGAAGAATACGTTCATGGAAAGAGAAACAGCCCAATACAAAGGTTCTGGAAAGACTACACATGGAAAGAGAATAACTTAGAAAAAAAAAAAGACAATTGAAATATTTCGGCCACATTAAAAGACATTATTAAGTTAGTTGCGTATCCTTTACAGGACGTTGCAGAACCAACCCTAACAGCCCCTGGCTGTTGTGTGGTTTTTCTAGGCAATTTACATCCAGTAGTTTGCCATCGCTTTCTGGACGGTCGGCTTTCTTGATACCACTGTCGAAACCAACGCAAGGCGCATGGCCCGCAGCTGGGATCGAACCTGGCATCCCGGCATTACGAAGCGAAGCGTTCGCATCGACTTAGCCACAGAGCTGACAAAAGACATTATACACACTTTAAAAAATCATACGGGAGGGAATGATTGAAGGCAATAGAGCAAGAGGTGGGCAACGATACAAGCGGCATGAGAGAGCGTGCAACCAGGACAAGAGACAGAACGTGTTGGAGATCAATTGCAGCCAACCTTTACTGTGAAGACGACACCTGATAAGTTGATTATGGGAAGGACAAGTGGCTGTAGGATATTGATTAACTCACATATCGAGTACTGATAGGTAAGTCTATAAAATATGGGGCTAGTTCAACATACCTGGCGTCGGTGGCTAAGATGTTGCCTATGCGCTTTGTAATTCCAGGGTACCGAGTTTGATCTCATCTGTAGGCGATTTGGTAGCATACCACTTGGTTGCGAAAGCCGACCGGGCATTCACAGTGGAAAAATACTGAATGTAAAAATTACCTTGGGAATTTACAAATAGCCAGACAATGCTGGGGTTGGTTCTGCAACAGGGATACGAAACTAACTTAACCGTATACATAATATCCTTAGGGCTTGGAAATAGAGGTCTTTTACATTACATTACTTTGCATTACATTAAATTACTTTATTTTACATTACTTTAATCTAAATATTTTTTTTCTAATAGGAACTTCATATTTTAGTATAAAACTGTTGGGCGGGGAGACCCTTCCGGGAATTGGCTTAAGTAAAGCAACAACAGAACTAAACAACACGCTGGGATCTGAGAGCGGAGAAGTTTGCTTTTTGCCTTCAACAGGAGAACTCATCATGAACAACAGTGAGTTTGTCTGTTTGTATGAAAGTTTCCTACATGTGTACGCTTTCATGAATATGTGTAACAGGCCTGCCGACACACTGGGAGGTGGACGCGTAGAGGAAAGGGGTGGTGGGGGGGGGGGGGGGGGGGGAGGGGGAGAAAGGCCTAAACCTAGTTTAAGGTCATGATAATAATGTGAAGAATGGTTAACGAGTATGAGTGGGCTTCAAATGCTAAGCTTAAAAATGTGATGTAAATTTACTGTAACTATGCAATGGACTGTCGGCTCTGTGGCTAAGTCGATGCGAACGCTTCGTAATGCGGGGATGCCGGGTTCGATCCCAGCTGCGGGCCATACGCTTTGCGTTGGTTTCGACAGTGGTATCAAGAAAGCCGACCGTTTAGAAGCAATGACAAACTACTTGACGTAAATTTGCCTAGAAAAACCACACAACAGGCAGGGGCTGTTGGGGTTGGTTCTGCAACGTCCTGTAAAGAATACGCAACTAACCTTATTCAATTGACGTCAAGTATGTCAAAATTATTGTGGAAGATGCCAAGAGTCTTTAGCAATGACGTCAAGGTGTAGAGAAACAATATATTCCAAAATAATATAGCATGTAGAAAGACATTTTTTTAAGGAGAATGTCTATACATGGTTAAAGGGGGACTGCTTAAGTCTCCTTAGAAAATTTTTAGGGGATGGGCTCTGCCCCTGCCCCCTAATGTTTATTCGGGGGGCCCAATGTGCCTGAGCTTCCAGCCTTTTTGGCGCAAGGAATTGTTGAGAATATTCTGTGTCGGATGACAGTACCCGGAACAATGCTGAAATCCTTATATGGACGACTGACCAGAAATCCCCGCCCTAATTTACAGCTGGTGAACACGAAGAAGAAAAGGAAGTTTACAGACAGTGAACGCTAAGAAAAAGAAGAAGACTCATAAGAAGAAGAAGAAGAAGAAGAAGAAGAAGAAGAAGAAGAAAAAAGAAGAAGAAGAAGAAGAAGAAGAAGAAAAAGAAGAAGAAGAAGAAAAGTTTACAGAATCAGTTGTAAGCCCTAAGTGAAATATTGTGACACATCATCAAGATCAAAAGTAATAAAACATTAGTTTAGCAAGCGCTGTTGCTGTGCTCTTCACAAATTGAGAAATAAAATAAATTAGGGTGCTGAAGACCGATAGGTAACTTCACAATCAAGGGGGAGGAATACTGGGATAAAACTAGGTCATGAATCATCTTTGTATAATCAGGTAATCAGTTATCATGTATTCGCAGTTTCAACTTAAGCACTTCCAACTTCAGCACTTCCAACTTCAGCACTTCCAACTTCAGCACTTCCAACTTCAGCACTTCCAATTTCTTAGCAAAGGGGTCGCCCCATAGTTGCTCTAAATTGTACCAACGATAAACAAACACAGTGTACATCACTTCCCTTAAAAAAACATTGACACAGACTGCAGTCACAGCAAAGCCAATACCACATATAGGCATTAAATTCATACGGCAGTCGTCAGAGGTGCCAACACAAACAGTCAGACACTAGAAAGGCAGTTCATCATCAATGAAAGCAGCAGTGATGGAAGATCAGTATTTGCACACAGAGTTAATGACACAAGGCAGCACCACATATGGTTATCAACAAGTATTTCAAATGAAATCCGCAGCTTTGCATAAATAGAATGACTATTACATGTAGAACTGGTTGGTAATGGTACCTCCATTTCTACGTTTCTTATCTTTATCATATCGTCTTCTATCCACAGATAAATGGCAACTGAAGGATCCACCAACATTCACACAAGGTGATATTTTGCAGTGTGGTCTTATATTCGCGGAAGCCGATCGAGTGCAGCAAAAGGGAGTTGTCTACTTTTCTATCAACAACAGTGAATTCTTTCACTGCCGATTTCTCATGGCTCATGGAGGAGCTTATCCCACGATAACATTTTCATCCCAAGGTAGACACTTACTGCAAGCCGTGTCTTTGGTATAATCATCATCACCATTATCATCGCAATCACTATCAATATCTTCAACGTGACTATTAACAATGACAATGTCATTGTGTAACAAGTTCTGTGCAGAAAATTGCCCTCTCCCCCATGTCTCGTTTATTGTTGGGACCCAATATGACTTTGAATACAATTTCCATTATTACGTTGGTCGATTCCTGCCTCTTCTTCTAGGAACTTTTTGTCCTTAACTCTTTCAATATCAGACGATTTAAAAAAAAGATGTCTATGGCTTTCGTACCCACGATAAAAGATAACAAATGAAATGCCAGGTTACTATATTTACCCGTCTCTGAAATATTACACTGTCACGTGACCTGCGGATTTCCCCTGTTTGGGGTATTCCTATAAATAAACAGAGGGGGAACCTTTGAGGCCGTTAAATATTATGAAATAATCAAGTAACAGAAAGTGTATTGATCGGCACTCATAGAAAGAAGTAGAAAGATAGAAGAACACACTAGACAACATAAAAATCGAAAGCTATAGTTACCGTGCCGGGAATTGAACTTGTCACCTCCAGACGGCGTCTGCGCCTCGCCATTAATACAAGTGCACTAAGAACATGGTTGGAAATGAACCGTATGTTCAGTCAAAATTTGAAGCATAAAGTAACATACCATGAATCTGTGGAGACATCTGGGTAATAGTTGACCATACACGGTGCGTTGTTTGGGACAGAAAGAGTTCATGGGTGAAAAAAAAGAAGAGGAGGTAGAAAAAAGGATGAGAAGAAAAAGATGGCGAAAGAGAAGAAGCTACTGCAGTTACTGATTTGATAAATATGTACACATGTATAATGATGACTTTTTGAGACATGCTGCTGTAATGATATGAAGGATGAGTCTACATGTCTTTGATGGGAAGTAGTAGAGATGCATTTTTGATGTTAAATGGGAAAGTTGCATTATGAAATGTAAAGTGGAAGACATTTATGTGTTTGGTGTCAAGTGGGAGAAAAGCATATGACTGATAGATGTCGAAGAACACTATATGATTGATGGAAAATAGGAGACATGAATGCGTTTTACGTAGAGACCTGTTTGTTTTCGTGCTTGATAATTTGGTTCCATTGGAAGGGGCGATGGGGGTGGGGGAGGAGGGAAGGAAGAGAGGGATAACCTCACTGTGCCAAGGAAGAGAATGTCGTAAAAGGCGACTAAAGAGGGAAAAAAAGGGAAAGAAGGGGGCGGGGGTGTTTCCTATGAAGTCGGAGTGTATCTGTCTGAGAGAAAAGGAACCAACAGCCTGCTGAATAAGCCAGATCTTTAAAATGGATGTGCACGTAGAACTTTCGTTTTGGATCTAGTCAAATGTCCACAAGTGGACGAACAATCAAAACTTTTCTTCGGAGCTTACAGCCGGCGAATGCTAAGAAAAAAAAAATTGGTAAGGAGTGTGTATAAAAATGCCTCCAACGTGACTCGGTTTCTGTAAATAGAGATGTCAACCGGCCCCCTGCACCCCCACCCCGCCCTTTTTGCTAATTTCCCCACACAGTGTGTATTATAACCAGCATATCTGTATGCAGACTGCTCTGCTGAGGTTCTACAGACTAGCCGCCTGCAGCCAATCCCTGAGAGTATTGCAGCAGAATGGTTGAACATTGACACAATGGAAGGAATTGTCCCCTACAGCCTTCACGATATTCTTGGCACCAGTAGCTACAACAATGAACTCTTAGATGATTCCTCTGAAGGTTCGTGCTTTTCAATACTAAACAGTGCTTCTTAAAGATATTACCGTGGTCATCACTATTGATCATCAATCAACATTACCCTTGTTGTCACATCGACAAGAAATGTTCGGTTTTTTTCTTCTTCAACAACACAGTTGAAGCTGTACGGGGTTCAAAAAGAGCGCACTAGATCTCTTGTAAGTAAAGTTAATATGGGAAGAGCGACCATGTTTTTTTTCAGGCCATCGACACAAGGTGGGTAACGTGGTCAGCATTACGCTGGCTGTCTTTACTTCCCCAGAATAGCCATCCTCGTACCCATTTTAGGCTGGGTCGACCTACAACCTCCCATACAAGGGTTAAAAATCCACGCAGCCCGCAGTGGGTTTCGATCGGGGTGCGTTGGAATTACGAGTCGGACTCGCAACACCTAAGCCACGAACGCCGCATACTAGATCTCTTGAGAGCCAATCAAAATCAGAGACTATCTTCTAATGTCTCAAGAGAGAAATACTGTTTCGCCATCTCGTACGATCTTCCTTATCTCGGATCTTGTCTGTGTTGTATGGTCACACAATTCAAATATTTATCTCTTAATCTCACCTTTGCTTCCACTCCTCCCCCACCATCATTTAAAATAGGATCAAGCTAGGATTAAACCACTTAAGACACCCCCCACCCCCGACCCTGACCCTCAGAGTATTCGTAAGTCCTTGTGTGGTGCTACTACTGTCCCCAGCCTCACCTCTCTCCCAATGTTTTCTTGTCAAAACGCTTTCAGTGAGCACATGAACCACTTCGCAAAGTAACCAGACTTTAGCTATATGATTCTTATTATAAACTGTACAAGGCACTTCCAAACAAATGTTATAATTGTTCAAGCTCGTCGTTGTTGCTTCAACCAGCATCCCTGAAGGGGGAGCTTTAGGTTATAATTGTGACTATGTTATGTGCGCCATAAAAATAGCCTAGCATTGCTCGCCACCAGGAGCCATGAGGACTCCTGCAGTGTTTATCCAATCAAAGGAGACTGACCCAAATACTGTCCCGACAAGCGAGAAAACGGGCTATCGTTCCCCGATGTTCAGACTCATTTGATCTTTTTTATATATACGAGACAGTCCCAACCCTTCGTTAGACAGTTGAAAACTGCTGGCAGTTGTAAACGAAAATACTCTTTTTAAATGTTACCCTTTCTGAATGCTATTAATGATATACCATATTTTGTATCACTTCAGAGTTTCGGGTGTTTGAAACTGCTACTCAAGACAGAGTTGTCTACATTAGTCATACCATTCGGGAAAAAGATAGGATTGATCCATTTATTTATTTGTAAGTCATTAAAGTCATTAACTAATATTTCAGCATAATTAGATGGTTATTTGAGAAGATGCAACACTTGTCATGAATCAAAAGTGCTTATACTTTTTAAACGGGGGGCGAACATGCCATGGACCGTGATAATATACTGAATGCTCTACGAGAAGGGAGACGTTTGCGAGAACCAAGTAATGGCTGTTAATCTGCAACAATGACCAGACTGCAAGGACAACATGTTATAAGGGGTGTGGCCAGACAAGAGCAATGTGCAGAAGCCGAAGAAGAATAAGAAACCAACATAGGACTGATGTCGCCAGAGGCTACACGTTGTGGGATTTTGATGAGGATGCGATCTGAGCACTTATGGACTGAATGGATTGATTTGCAATGAGAATTTTCTGTCGAACGTCTCATAACAACGGCGAGATGTGTTTGTATATTTGTTGCTAGACCCAGAGTAACGGCGTGATATGTTTGTATATTCGTTACTAGACCTAGAATAACAGTGACATATGTTTGTATATTCGTTACTAGACCCAGAATTACGGTGAGATATGTTTGTGTATTCGTTACTAGACCCAGAATAACAGTGACATATGTTTGTATATTCGTTACTAGACCCAGAATTACGGTGAGATATGTTTGTATATTCGTTACTAGACGTAGAATAACAGTGACATATGTTTGTATATTCGTTACTAGACCCAGAATTACGGTGAGATATGTTTGTATATTCGTTACTAGACCCAGAATAACAGTGACATATGTTTGTATATTCGTTACTAGACCTAGAATTACGGTGAGATATGTTTGTGTATTCGTTACTAGACCCAGAATAACAGTGACATATGTTTGTATCTTCGTTACTAGACCCAGAATTACGGTGAGATATGTTTGTATATTCGTTACTAGACGTAGAATAACAGTGACATATGTTTGTATATTCGTTACTAGACCCAGAATTACGGTGAGATATGTTTGTATATTCGTTACTAGACCCAGAATAACAGTGACATATGTTTGTATATTCGTTACTAGACCCAGAATTACGGTGAGATATGTTTGTATATTCGTTACTAGACCCAGAATAACAGTGCGATGTGTTTGTATATTCGTTACTAGACCCAGAATAACAGTGAGATGTGTTTGTATATACGTTACTAGACCTAGAATAACAGTGACAAATGTTTGTATATTCGTTACTAGACCCAGAATTACGTTGATATTGTTTGTATATTCGTTACTAGACCCAGAATAACAGTGAGATGTGTTTGTATATTTGTTAAAAGACGCAGAAAAACAGTAAAATATGTTTGCGTTTTTGGTACTAGACCCAGTGGAATGAAATGCAGTTTGCATCTTTGTTACTAGACCCAGTTCAATGGTATGACTTTTTGTATGATTGTTACTGGATCACATGCTAGGTGTTTGCAGATTCGACATTTAACCCAGTATAACGATATGTTGTTTTTACGTTCGGTACTAGACCTAGTCTTTCTGTCACGCTAAGCTAATTTACATTTCTGAATCATATAGGTTAAGTTTAATGTCTAGAAATAAAATATGGCAATAGTTATGGATTGAGATGGGTTATAGATCTGGTGATTAAATACTTTTTTTTTTGTTGTTGTTGCTTTATTAATATCCTTCCTCAAATGACGTTACATGACATTCTAACATTTTAGAGGGTGGTAAAACTGAGTTTCCCGGCTTTCTGGTACTTTTAACGACCCCAAAATATCTAAAACTGGCACTAACACCAAACCACCTACGTCCCACGGGGGAGTACAATCTAGGTCCCACGACTGCATGCAGCCTATCTACCAACCCCTAAAGTATTAGGTTGTTCCGTAACCTGTGGATTTCCCTTGTTTGGGGTAGGATATCATTAAAGCTGCCCTTTAAAGTGGGTTTTTAGTGGGCCGTGTATCACAGTACTCTTATTCTTTCCACAGATTTTTGCCAACAATTGGGAGTGGCAGGTTTGAACCTCGCTGTAACTACTAATGGTTCAAATTTTATATCTTCTGATGGGACGTCTAATCTCTGTTTCATTCCTCTATGTTCATCTCTAATGTTTTGACCATGGTGAGCTTAGTCCCCCCCCCCTCTCCCCCAAACCCTTGCCAAGTTAGTATTTATGCATTGATTGTAGTGCCAGTACATTGTGCGAACTGTTCGTGTTGTCACTTCTGATGGCTGCCTGGTGCATTTGATGCCTGTGTAGGATGATGGCTTTGCCAGGACAGCCGTCTGTTTACATTATTTCGCAAAAGACAACGACAGACATTCTGTCGGGTTTCCCTCAGCACGTAAACTAAAGAAATGTGAGAGGACCAGTTTACGGTGAAGGGGGCTGAGTGGTCTCGAGGCATGGTGTCCGCCTCGAGTGCTAGAGGTTCAGTTTCAATCCCCTGTAGGGGCTGTGATTTTTTTTTCACGTGGACTTGGACATCTAGTAATTCCCCCAGGTCTCTGGGTAGTGAGATAGGACGCCCGTATGCACTGTTGCGTACGTAAAAATCCCTTAGCAGCGGGAAATTAAAAAGAGTAGCCTAACGGCGCTGTCCGGGCAACATTTTGAGTTAAGAAACTACCTAAAATATTTCAGGATCCTCGCCGGTGCTACAGAGCCTGTGCACAGTGCTGAGATTCTTCGGACTCCCGCTTGAGTTAGAAGAAGAACGAAGCACTAATAGGTTACTACCCGTATGCCATGATGTCGATCCGTTGTTCAAAACCTCAAACCTCAGTTTACCGTGAATTTGCTACTGCGGGTAATTGATAAATAATTTAACATCATACTTCTTATCTCGTGTAGGTTACATCGCCACTTTCCCAACATTATTTTCAAGACGTCGTCTGACTGTGCTGATATGGAAGGGAAACAAGAAGCAATTGACTGCAGTGAGCTGGTTGTAATCTTCATGTCGCAGCTGTACAGTGAAAGTCATGAAATGGCTTTGGAATACTCTCTAATGGGAGGTAAGAACTGACCGCGTTAAAAAGAAATTAGCACAAACGTAAATTAAAAAAAAAAAATTGCACACAGGAAGTGATAGAAAAGCAAATATTGTACACAGGAAGTCATAGAAAAGCGAATATTGCACACAGGACGTGATAGAAATGCAAATATTGCACACAAGAAGTGATGGAAAAGCAAATATTGCACACATGATGTGATAGAAAAGCAAATATTGCACACAGGAAGTGATTGAAAAGCAAATATTGCACACAAGAAGTGGTAGACAAAAAAATATTTAACAGAGGAAGTGACCAAAAAGGAAACATTGCACACAGGAAGTGATAGAAAAAGCAAATATTGCCTAATGGGCTAATTTAGGATGTATGACCCCCCTGTTGAGTTAATTACGTTAGGCCCTCTTTTCTCTCGGTTAAACTTCAGCATTGTTATTGGTTAATAGACTGCGGCAACAAGTTGCGAAATTATCCACTTCAGTTTTATACTATGCTGAAGTATTTAAATTTAACCAAGTACACAACAGTTGAAACAAATGTGCATGTTGGGGTCAACAATAATGTGCAACACAAGACGAGACTTTCATAATGATAAAAGCAATAAAGATATTGAAAAAAAGAAAAGCATTAGTTATATTTTGTCGCTCCTAGAAATCTTCCGCCCTCAGAAATTAGCCGCACTGTGCAGCTGCACATGTTGCACACATTCCAAATACGTCACATATTGCTTAGAATAATTTATGTTTAATTTTTGTAAATGATTTAAGAGATTGTGTCTGCACGTAAAAAAAATATATATAAAACATTTATTTATCATTTCCTTATCCTCGGCATCTATGTTAACTATTATCTTATGCATCATCATTTCCTCCTCATTTTCTCCTCTTCCTCTCCATCTGGTCGCCCTTCTTCCCCTCGTCATTCTTCTTAATATTTTTTTTTCATCTAGGGACCTAGGCTGCATGCAGTCGTGGGACTTAGGTGGGTTGGGGTTAGGGCCAGTTCTAGGTGTTTTGGGGTCGTAAAAAGCGTCAAAAACCCAGGAAACCTAGTCTTACCACCTTCTAAAATGTTGGACAGCCCTGTGACGTCATCTGGGTGTAAGATATCACGAAGGAACCATACATTTACTTCTCTTCATGTTTCTACACAGGCAAAGAGATTATAGTTGCTGCTCACGAACGAATGACGTGGCCACCAGGAAATTATTTCGATGGCAACCTTCATTTCGAGCGGTTGCCGAGAACCTTTGTTGACACCGCGGCAAATAGATCTAGTGCAGCAGGTCTCATAGACCTTATAGATCATTATCTTGACTGGGAGGTAAGATTTTGATTATTCTCTAGCTCGAAGTTACAGTTTTTGTGGGTCACTGCATGTATAGTCTTAGGTTTTTCATTCCCCGTCTGGGTTCCAGAGCCCAATTTTGTGGAAAAGAGAATAGACCCAATGCCTCCCTAACCAGCATGTCATACAAGGCGACTAATCAGGGGAGTTTTCCTTCCAAGTCGCAGTGCATCTGCGTGATAGATCAGAATCCGACGGTTTGCATACAAATTATGAAAAAAAGTTGCTTATAAAACAAAAATCTTATAGTTTCTACGAATACGAATAAAAACACTATCTTGCTGTATTTTGCGAAAATAGAAACTGACCCCCCAAAAAAAGTCCTTGGATAGTTTTCAGGATGACTGTATTTAGTCTAAGCCCCATGCAAATTAAAGCTCTAGTTTAAGTAGTCAACCAGAAGTCCGTTAAAACACACGACGGCCGTTTTAAATTATATAGAAATGGAAATATGTAAATGGGCATAAACAAATATTATTAACACTGCTTCTGTCCAATTATTCGAATACCTGACAGGGAAAAAAATGAACATTATTTAGCGCAAAACAAATACTGAAAACCGTGGCACTGGGCTTCCGCTCGGCATCTCATAGTTCCCACAAACACACCTTAAAGACACTAAACTAGTTTTCACGAATACAACTAACAAAACACTTGCCTAATTACGACGAATACACCTAAAATAGTTTCGAAGATTACACTCTTCTAGTTTCCGTTAATACACCTAAAATAACACTCGCATAGTTTCAATTAATATATCTACAATAGCACTCTTCCTGCTTCCATGAATACATTCATAACATTTAATGAAACACGACTATTTTGTTGAGCGATTTCGTTAAAATTAGAACTGGTTGTTTAGCTTTAAAAGTTCATATGTTTCTATAAAACTGAGTTTCTTCTTTCCGTTTCTGCTGATTTATGCATTATAGCTTTACAACTGCACGTCAGTTTCAGGGAGCGGCTGTAGTGACTAGACACTAGCGTAAAGGCCCCAAAATCGTTGGTTTAAATCCGCATGGAGAAGGATTTATTTTTTTTCAAAATCAACCTTGGCTGCCAGGTCGACTAGGCCTAAACTGGATACTACGTAAAATTTTGGGAAGTAATGGCAGCCGGTGTGGTGCTAAACACATCACCCACCCAGTGGCGAATGGGTTTTACAAGATCGGTCTAGCAGTATATACCCTATACGCCTTAGGGAATGAATAAAAATGAGGTCCTTTACTTTATTCTTCAATGTAACCATTTTATTTCTCGTCTTCATGTACTCTGCAGGAGTCACAAAGCTTGTATGGAGGCAGCAGTATGTCTAACGGCAAGCTGAATCAGTCGAACGACTCCAACAGTTATGTTCACGAGAACGGATTACAGAAACAGCAATCTAACAAGAGCTCTACCACGTGTGTCATTTTATAAGTGCATTACTTTCAACAACAAAAAATATTGAGTTCTACTAAAAGAGATGAAGTCTTATTACAAGTTTTTGCGAACTGGACCCATTGAAGATAAGATCAGTGGGCAATAGGATGAGGGGGATATATATATATATATATATATATATATATATATATATATATATATATAATATATAGAGAGAGAGAGAGAGAGAGAGAGAGAGAGAGAGAGAGAGAGAGAAGTAACAATCAAAGAGATAATTTTTTAAATCACAACTAATCACTGGCATCATCAGCATCATCTTCATCACCACGTAGCACGTACTTTGCAGAACATAGGTCTCATTACGGTCTGCCGGAAATAAGCTTGGTCTCTGACCAGCTCTCCTGCCTCGTGTACTTTCATATTCACGAGTCCCTTACATCTTGTGCCCATCTTTGTGTTGGTTGGTCCCTGTCCCTCCTTCCAGGTACCGTGCCTTCTGCTACTTTTTTTTAAAAATCCGTCATCGCGCTTGATATTAGAAAAAATATTCCAGCTTCCGAGACTAAATGCTGTTTAATAGCCAGTTTGGAATTACTGGCATAATCAGGGTTAATAGACTGTAAAGATGTGCTTTTTGTTAGTTTTGAATTTCCCCCCTGTTCAGTCTGTATGATTAATATCTCAAGGATGAGACTCAAACACGTACAAATTTGAGAAACCCTGTTGAGCCCTATATCCATATGTAGAGTAAAGTAAAGGACCCTTTTCCACGCCTTTAGGCTATTGGGTGTATAGGGCTAGACCTAGATTTTATAGACCAAACGGCATTTGGTGGGTGATGTGGTCAGCATCACGCCGGCCACCTTTACTTCCCAGGACTGTACCTGGTACCCACTTAAGGCTGGGTCGACATGGGAGCCAAGGACATTTTGGAAAAAATGTCCGGACCCTGTCAAGACACGAACCCACGACCTTCCGATCCGTAGGCGAGCGTATAGCTGATAGACCAAGACGGCTCCCCTATAGCCATATAGCACAGTTATATTGGGGCACCGTACAACGGTTACTTAGTGACCTTTAGTCCCGTGTGGATGGGTTTTTGGTCTGTATGACCGCAATAACTAGAATATATAGACCAAATGCAAGATAATAGAGAGCTATATCTACGTGTACGACAGAGCTGAATGGGAGAAAATCACGAGGCCGAGAAGGAGGAGGTGGAGATTATATTTACGTAGACCAACAAATAACTTCTCCCATTTTTGGGGACTCTGTGGCAAAGTGGTCAAGCCGTTTGCCTCGCGCTTTAAAGATCATGGGTTCGCTGTACTGCTGAGCCCTGAAGTTCACAAGTGTAATTTTTAGGAAGATCCCTGGGGGTCGTCGCCGGAAACTACAGAGGTCGTGCTTTCAGCGATGCTCTCGGCAGGCTGCTAGCCATTCTACGGAGAGAGACCATATGGGACAAAATCCGGCGCAATGAAGTCAATTCTCTCGATTTTTACCTTTTTTTTTTTTAAACAACACTTGAAGTCACCAACTGGAACGAGGCCAATAACGGATTTGAAGAGAGACGGCTGATATCTGCAGCAATGAACCTCAAGAGCTAGGAATGCTGAGGGAGAAGAAGAAAAAGAAACATTATTTCCACCAGAGTGAAAGGATTAGTGAAATCTATATTAGAGACGATCACAGTGTATGTACTATTGATTGAACGAATAAATGAATGGAACAATTAATCAATGAGTACAACGAAGAATCAAATTAAAAGTCAACAAAAAGTACCAGTTGGCTGGCAAATATCTTTGATCAGGCAGAAACATGAGAGACTTTAAAAAACGTAACAGCCTAAACAGCCCCCCCCCCCCCCCCCCCAAAAAAAAAAAAAATGTTACCAGCCATAATCTATTGTATTAAAAACTAGTCAACTCTTGGAAAAGCAAACTGTTAAACAATCCACATTGATTGTTTAGAATAACGGTTCTCAACATGTGGGTCACGACCCTTTTGTGGGTCAAAGGACTCTTTTTTAAGGTCGCCGCACATATTGATTGAAGTTATGAATTAGCAACAAATTTTTTTTTAATGGTTGGAGGGTCGCCACAGCATGAGGAATTGTATTAAAACGTCGCGGCATTAGCAAGGTTAAGAAACACTGGTTAAGAAAAATACGTTTAATGATGTTCATAATAAATACATGACATTATATAACGCATTTTGTTGTAGTTTGTTGTCTTCCTCTGGATAAATATGATCTTATTTTTGAATGTCTAGTCGAATCAAAACTAATTAGGGTCATGTATCAGCAGGCATTAATAATTTGATTAAGGTAACCATAAATATTTTAATTAAAGAGCAACGGATGAGGTGGTTTGGCAAGCGGGCCAGAAAGCACTGGTACCATCTGCCACAAAAAGCCACGGAAGAAAGACAATGAACAGAGAGAGAGAGAGAGAGAGAGAGAGAGAGAGAGAGAGAGAGAGAGAGAGAGAGAGAGAGAGAGAGAGAGAGACCACACTAAAGATGTAACGTCGACATCAAGAACAGCAACAAAGAAAAGAAGATAAGCTTACGCATTAAAAATACCTCAACAAGGTAAATGGAAGAAGAGGAGGTTGCGGAGAAGAAGAAGAAGAAGAAGAAGAAGAAGAAGAAGAAGAAGAAGAAGAAGAAGAAGAAGAAGAAGAAGAACAAAAAGGAGGTGAAGAGAATAAGAGACAGAAGAAAAGGAAGAAAAAGAAGAACAAGAATAAGAAGAGGAAGAAACTGGAGGATACTGATCAGAAGAAGAAGAAGAAGAAAAAGAAGAAGAAAAACAACGATGAAGAAGAAGGATGAAGAAGAAAGAAGACAGATAAAGAAGAAAGATGAAGAAGAAAGAAGAAGAAGAAAAAAAGAAGAAAAAGAAGAAAGAAGAAGAAGAAGAAGAAGAAAAAGAAGAAGAAGACAAGAAAAAGAAAAGAGGAAGAAGGAAAGAAAAAGGTGATACCGATCAAGAAGAAGAAGTAGGAGAAGAAGAAGAAGAAGAAGAAGAAGAAGAAGAAGAAGAAGAAGAAGAAGAAGAAGAAGAAGAAGAAGAAGAAGAAGAAGAAGAAGAAGAAGGAAAATAAGAAGAAGGAGAAAAAGAAGAAGAGTAACTTCAAACAGGAAACTAAGGCATCATTGTTTAACTGTTTGATGTATACCAGGTATACTGTGCTAATTCCATTATTTTTTAAACAAATCGGTAATGTAGTCAAGATCACGCTGGTCACTTTTCTTCCTAGTACTATTCCTGAAACTTATTTAGGATAGGTCGACATGGAAGCCTACTTAAATTTAAAGAATCTGCTCAGTGGTTGGTATTTAAAAAAAAAACCCAAAGCCTTAACACTAGTCGCATAATCAACGAAACGTACACATTCGCCTACACCCACAGAATAGCTTCAATCATTTTATGAGCTTTGTTCACGTTTTTCTTAAAGCGTGTATTTCTTGTCGAGTTACCACCATGTAACAATTATACATTTCACCTGTTTCGATTATAGATGTGTCTGTAGTTATTGTGGTTTCACCTTTTGCTGTTAAAATGAATTGATCGTTCTAAGGCAGTTATGGTACTCATCTTACTGTAAGCTTTTCACATTCTTCATATGGATGCTAATTGTAGGTCCTGCGATTTGTTTTTAAAATTAAGAGCTTGACTAACTGTTATCTCTGATCTGTAACATTGTGGAACTAGCCGTTAAACAACTATTAATGATTCATATGCAGGTGAGGGATAAGTAGAAAGCACCACACATGCATATCAGTAATAACGAACAACAATATCAACTGTTCTTAAATAGAGAATGTGATAGTAAAGCGTTCAAGGGCTTTTACATCTTCGGATGAAAAACATTTCACGCCAGAACTGTCATTGTGAAATGTTTATATTATTCACTACTTGCCGCCACTAAACAGTATTCACCTTTGGTAAGTTTCGTACGTTACTTTCTTTCTTTCTTACAATGTTTAACATAGATTTCCTCTGTACTGCTCTGTCTCTCTCTTTCTCTCTGTGTCTGGATATGTGTGTATTTGTGTGTGTATAATTTTTTTTTTTTTTTTCAGAAAGTTAAAAAAATAATATTTATACATACTCTGGTGAAATCGCTTTTGGCCACGCATATAACAGCACAAATACATAAGAAATAAATTCACGACCCATGACTTGAAGCTTAATTTGTGCCATGTTTAATTCTTAAGTAAAGAAGCGACATTATTTCCCAGGATGATTTGAACAAACCGATACCATTGTTCGCCTGAACGTTGAATTGAACATGTAATAAACAAAAAAATTGACGGATGCGTTAGTTGTTTGAAGAAAGAACACAAACAGAAGCAGAACCCACGTTTCGTACTTGACATTCTCAACACCTAAATGCTCAAATACAACAACCAGAGCTATCAACCGTAGAGAGTTGCAAACCAAACAGAGAATTGCCAGGATTACCACTATTTTCTCAACTCGTCTGTTCCTGCTCAAAGTGTTGCTTCTTTTTCTAGTTGGACTTGATTTCTCGGCATTTGATAAGTCTCTGCTAAGAAGTTGATTTGATCCTGATTGTAAATTGTTGTTCAACAGAGTTATGTTTCTTCTGAAGTTGTGAAGACCGTCTTAGGTCTATAGTCATAACATAAGCACTTACTGTCACTATAAGGAGACAGGTTGGCTCCACAGTATAGTTAGCAAAGATCGTAATGAAGCGCTCTACTACTTTCCTATGTAGCGTAAACGTCATAACAGTTCTAGTTGAGTTGGTTCTTATGTCATGAATTCTGATTAGCCTATATGTAGAAAAATCAGGCAATGCGGTACACAGCACTAATGCGTAATAAGGACCATAGCAAAAAGAGATCTCCTAAGCGTGAAGAAATCCTTGAACTTAATCGGCCATGACACACAGAGGCATCTTTCCAATGCCAAAAGTGCAGTAGTTAATGTGGAGCTGTGGTAGAACATGCCTGATATACGAATCAGCATGTGATGTATGGCTATGGGATCAAACTCCAGGTTCGGGTTGATTTTAATGCACTCTGCCAGAAACGACGCCATGACTGATGACAAATCCGTGACTGACAAAGAAATCAAACATACACTGACGCAATCCTTGATTCCTTGTTTGATGAAAACACAGATGCTGAGAAAGTTTGTGAAGATTCCAAACGCACCAATAGCGGATACAATAACCGGTTGAATGTATTTATCTATGTACTTTACAGAAATTGGAATTACTGGCACATAATTCGCGTAAGGTATCTCAACAGGCCTGTAAGGTGCAGTGTGATTTTCAGCTATCATTGTTACAAGTATTTTTTTCACTCTAAATTATCGCTGTTGTAATATTGCCAGCTTGTCACATAGCTGTGAAGACATGTAAGTGAAGGGAATCTAAGAAAAACACTAATCATGAGAACACACAAGGAAACCGTGCACTGTTGACCTTTACACGGCATTCAGTAACCCCTTTAATTTCTCAATAGGGAGTCCCCGTGTTGTAGTGGATAGACGCTTGTCTGCGGATCGAAAGGTAGTGGGTTCGGATCCTGACAGAACGAGGCTTTCTTCAAATATGACCTTGGCTCCCAGGTCGATAGAGCCCTGAGTGGGTACCAGATGCAGTCCTGGGAAGTAAATGTGGCTGGCTTGATGTTGACGACATCCCCCACCAAGTGCCGATTGGTCTATAAGATATAGGTCTAGCCCTATATGCCCAATAGGCCTGAAGGCGTGGAAAAAGGGTCCCTTTATCTACTTTGCTTGAATGTATCAGTGCCACGCAAACTATGATTTGTGAGTGACCGTTCCGGTGTGTAGCAGCCAACGATTTTCTGCATTATCTTCCAGTTATATCGTCGTGGGGGCTTTAGGCTCCATTGTGGAGAAGAAAAAAGAATAAACCCACTGCCTTCCTAACAAGCATGTCGTAATAGTAGAATAATTAAAGGTTTCTTTTAGGGCTGTACCAAATATTCGCTTCGTATTTGCTTCGGGGCCGAATAGTGGACCTATTGACTATTCCGTATTCGGTAGAATAGTTGCGGTCGGGCCGATACGAATTGTAGTTACCTTACACCCGCTTCTGCATACACGGCCTTAATACTGACAACATGGAACGTGGCTTTGTTGAAAGCTAATGCCGCTTTCATGCAATAAATAAGCTGTCAGTAA